TCCGCCCGCCTTGCCCTCCCAAAGTGCTGGGATTACAGGCATGAGCCACTGTGCCTGGCCAGGAATGGGATTTTTTAAAAACTCTTTCACAGATTCATATAAGGTCTCACTCACCAACATACTTTCAGTCATATCTTGTTTCTGATGTAACTGTTTACACCCTCCCCCCGTTCATAAATTGTACCCATCACAAGTATCATAATCTTATTAAACACTTCCCATACTCATATAGCTAATAGCCTTACACTGTACATATATAATTTCACATAGTCTGTTGCTTTAGGATTATATAAAAGATCAAGTTCCTTTCAATAAAAGAATAAGAACAATAAAAAGATCATGACCTTACAAAAAGCCCTTGAAATGTCTAAAATAGATTAAATAAAATATAGACCAACAACCCAACAGGGAATAAGAAACAGCTAGCATTTCACAGACTTACACAAAATCAATAAACATATGAACATGTACTCATTAGTATGAATAATCAAGTAAGTAGAAATTTAAAATGAAGTCTTGTTTTTCACTGCTCACATTGGTAAGAAAAGAGACCGGTATTACGGTTTGGTGAGGCTGTAGGGAAATAAACAGAGTAGGAATGGAATTAAGCATAGCCATTTTGTTTTCTAAATTTATTTCATTACTATATTTTTTGAGACAGGCTCTTGCTCTGTCTCCCAGGCTGGAGTGCACTGGCCTGATCTGGGCTCACTGCAACCTCCGCTTCCTGAGTTCAAGCGATTCTCCTGCCTCAGCCTCCCGAGTAGCAGAGATTACAAGCATGTACCACCATGCCCTGCTAATTTTTGTATTTTTAGTAGAGACAGGGTTTTGTCATGTTAGCCAGGCTGTAAGCACAACCATTTTCAAACACAATTTGGCAAAAACCAGAGTCAGCATATACACTTTTGGCAATTTGTATCTCAGAAGCATTCCACAAGTCCATAACAACATATACACATGTCCATAGAAGATATACATCTGGGGATTGGCGTGGTTGCTCACGCCTGTAATCCCAGCACTTTGGGAGGCCAAGGCAAATGGATCATGAGGTCAAGAGTTTGAGACTAGCCTGGCCAACATGGTGAAACCCCATCTCTACTAAGAATACAAAAATTAGCCGGGCAGAGTGGTGCGTGCCTGTAATCCCAGCTACTCAGGAGGCTGAGGCACAAGAATCGCTTGAATTTGGGAGGTGGAGGTTGCAGTGAGCCACGACTGTGCCACTACACTCCAGCCTGGGCGACACAGCAAGACTTTGCCTGGAAAGATGCAAGGCTGGTTCAACATATGCAAGTCTATAAACGTAATCCACCACATAAACAGAACCAAAGACAAAAACCACATGATTATCTCAATAGATGCAGAGAAGGCCTTCGAAAAAATTCAACAGCACTTTATGCTAAAAACTCTCAATAAACTAGGTATTGAAAGAACATATCTCAAAAGAATAAAAGCTATTTATGACAAACCTATAGCCAGAATCATACTGAATGGGCAAAAACTGGAAGCATTCCCTTTGAAATCTGGCACTGAACAAGGATGCCCTCTCTCACCACTTCTATTCAATATAGTACTGGAAGTTCTAGCCAGAACAATCAGGCAAGAAAAATAATAAAGGGTATTCAATTAGGAAAAGAGGAAGTCAACTTGTCTCTGTTTGCAGACGACATGATTGTATATTTAGAAGACTCTATCGTCTTAGCCCAAAATCTCCTTAAATTGATAAGCAACTTCAGCAAAGTCTCAGGATACAAAATCAATGTGCAGAAATCACAAGCATTTCTATACACCAATAACAGACAGAGAGCCAAATCATGAGCAAACTCCCATTCGCAATTGCTACAAAGAGAATACAATACCTAGAAATACAACTAATAAAGGATGTAAAGGACCTCTTCAAGGAGAACTACAAACCACTGCTCAGTGAAATAAGAGAGGACACAAACAGATGGAAAAACATTCCATGCTTATTGTTAGTAATAATCGATATCGTGAAAATGGCCATACTGCCCAAAGTAATTTATAGATTCAACGCTATCCCTATCAAGCTACCAATGACCTTCTTCATAGAACTGGAAAAAACCACCTCAAACTTCATATAGAACCAAAAGAAAGCCTGCATAGCCAAGACAATCCTAAACCAAAAGAATAAAGCCAGAGACATCACACTACCTAATTTCAAACTATAAGGCTACAGTAATCAAAACAGCATGGTACTACAGGTATTAATCGACTTACCACCTATGCAACTTATGACCTTTCGACTTTACGACCACAATCGCTAGCCATGACTGCTCCACGTCTGGCAGCGCAAATGTTGCCCAGCTGGGCATTCGACAATGTGGACCAGCTTCCAGCAGCACTACCATCTCCACGTGCACCATTTCAACTGTACATATAGCCTACTCAACTTACGACCAAACTGTGTTACGACCGGTCCGCGGTCCCGACCGTGGTCGTAAGTCGAGCACTAGCTGTAGTACCAAAACAGAGATATAGACCAATGGAACAGAACAGAGGCCCTGGAGGCAATGCCACACCTCTACAACCATCTGATCTTTGACAAACCTGACAAAAACAAACAATGGGGAAAGGATTCCCTGTTTAATAAATGGTGTTGGGAAAACTGGCTAGCAGTGTGCAGAAAGCAGAAACTGGACCCCTAACTGACACCTTACACTAAAATTAACTCTAGAAGGATTAAAGACTTAAACATAAGACCTAACACCATAAAAACTCTAGAAGAAAACCTAGGCAAAACCATTCAGGACATAGCCATAGGCAAGGACTTCATGACTAAAACACCAAAAGCATTGGCAACAAAAGCCAAAATAGACAAATGTGACCTAATTAAACTCTGTAAAGCAAAGAAACAATCATTAGAATGAACTGGCAACCAAAAGAATGGGAAAAAATTTTTGCAATCTACCTATCTGACAAAGGGCCAATATCCAGAATTTACAAAGAACTAAAACAGATTTAGAAGAAAAAACAAACAAACCCATCCAAAAGTGGGCGAAGGATATGAACAGACACTTTTCAAAAGAAGACATACATGAGGCCAACAAACATATGAAAAAATGCTCATCATCACAGATTATTAGAGAAATGCAAATCAAAACCACCTCACACCAGTTAGAATGGTGATCGCTAAAAAATCTGGAGACGACAGATGCTGGAGAGGATGTGGAGAAATAGGAACACTTTTACACCGTTGGTGGGAGTGTAAACTAGTTCAACCATTGTGGAAGACAGTGTGGCGATTCCTCAAGGATCTAGAAATAGAAATTCCATTTGACCCAGCAATCCCATTACTGGGTATATACCCAAAGGATTACAAATCATTCCTTTATAAAGACACATGCACACATATGTTCATAGTGGCACTGTTTACAATAGCAAAGACCTGGAACCAACCCAACTGCCCATGGACAATAGACTGGACAAGGAAAATGTGGCACATATATACCGTGGAACACTATGCAGCCATAAAAAATGATGTGTTTGTGTCCTTTGTAGAGACATGGATGAATCTCGAAACCATCATTCTCAGCAAACTGACACAAGAAGAGAAAATCAAACACTGCATGTTCTCACTCACAGGTGGGTGATGAACAATGAGAACACATGGACACAGGGAGGGGGGCATCACCCAATATACACTGAGGTCTGTTGTGGGGAGCCAAGGGAGGGACAGCGGTGGGAGGAGGGAGGCCGGGGAGGGATAACATGGGGAGAAATGCCAGATGTAGGTGACGGGAGTGATGGAAGCAGCAAACCACACTGCCACGTGTGTACCTATGCAACAATAGCAAATAATTGAAAACAGCTACAAGTCCATCCATAGGTGTGATGTGTTGAATTGTGGCCCCCGAAAAGATAAGTTCAAGTCCTAGTCCATGGCATACCTGTGAATATGACCTTATTTGGAAATACAATATGTGTGGATGTGATTAGTTAAGACAATGGTCCCCAACTTTATCCACACCAGGGATTGGTTTCATGGGACAATATATCTATGGATGGGGGTGGTTTTGAGATGAAGCTGTACCACCTCAGATCATCAGGCATTACATCCTCATAAAGAGCGGGCAGCCTAGATCGCTCCCATGCGCAGTCCACAGTAGGGTTCACGATGAGAATCTAATGCTGCCACTGATTTGAGAGGAGGCAGAGCTCGGGTGGCAATACTCACTCCTCACCATTCACCTCCTGCTGTGTGGCCAGTTCCTAACAGACCACAGACCGGTATTGATCTGCAGCCCAGGGACTGGGGATCCTTGAGATTAGATGAGGTCATATTGATATGGCTCCGATGAGTGGAGGAACACAAGGGTTCTTGGTCCTCGTGCCGGTTTAGATAAAATGACAGGGACACAAATGGAGTGGTTTTAAGGAGCAGAGAGCTTAATAGGCAAGAAAGGAGAAGGCAGAAGGAAGAAGCTCCCCGCTTCTTCCTTCAGAGACAGCGGCAGGGGTGGGGGGTGGGTGTCTCCAAAGCTCAAAGAGGAGACCCCAAGTGGGTCGGAAACCAGCCAGGTATATAGAGGCTGGAGGAGGCGGTGTCTGATTTGCATAGGGCTCAGAGAATTGGTTAGACCAGGCGTGTCATTCATGCAGCCGGATAAAAAGCTGGCCCTCCCACCCTAGCCTTTTAATATGCAAATGTAGGGCACCATGAGGTTCTATACACCCCGTCAGGATATGTGGGGGCGGCCATGTTGCCAGGCACATGTTGGGGGGCAAGGGCAAGAAGAGGGTGGGAATCGCCATGTTTGGGTGGACCGTTTTTAATGGCCTGCATTTGCATATCAAAGGTTGCCTGCCTGGCTCTGAGAGCCAGGACTTTATAAGAAACATTTCCGGAAACAAGATGGTGAGCTCGTGGTGAGAAGCTGTGAAGCAAGAGTAGAAATTAGTATGCCTAGAAGCAGATTTTAAAGGCAGTTTTTCTTCAGAACATCTTTTTTCATACCACTTGATAAGCATCTTGAAACACTACGGCTGTAGCTGCAGTAAAATGGGTGATGTCAAAGAAAACTATCTTGAAACATTTATTTCCAATCCCAAATGGAGTTTTATATTGTGTTTGTCATAAATCTACATATTCTCCTCTACCAGATGACTATAATTGTAAAGTAGAACTTGCCCTGACTTCTGATGGCAGGACAATAGTATGCTATCAACCTTCTGTGGACATTTCATATGAACCACAAAACCTATCCCGCGGCCAGATCCTGTGCATAATAATGAAGAAACACATGATCAAATCCTGAAAACCAGATTGGAAGAAAAAGTTGAACCCCTTGAGCAAGGACCTATGGTAGAACAACTTAGCAAAATGTTCTTTACTACTAAGTACCACTGGTATCCTTATGGACGGTATCACAGATGTCGTAAGAATCCGAATCCTCCAAAAGACAGTTGATGCTGAGGTTCCTGGGAGAATCAAAGAGAAATGTGCCTCATTTGCAATTTGAAAAAATGCCGTCTGGTGTATTCACTAATATGTAGTAAAGTAATAATAATAAAATATCTTTTCATATATTAAAAAAAAAAAAAAGAAAGAAACATTTCCGCAGCAGCTTTAAAAACGAAAACTTCCCAAGGATCCATTTTCTTCTCTGCCTAAAATAATTTCTTAATAACTCCTACCACAACATGAGTTAGAGTTGACCCTAAACCCAATGATGGGTGTCTTTGGAAGAAGAGCACAGGACACACAGAAACAGACACATATAAAGAAGAAGGCCACATGACCATACTGGCAGAGATCGGTGTGACCGGGCAATAAGCCAAGGAACACCTGGAGCCACCAGAACTGGATAAGGCAAAGGAAGATTCTTTTCTAGAGCCATCAGAGGGACTGCAGACCTGTTAACACCTTGGTTTTGCACATCTGCCCTCTAGAACTCTGGGAAAATAAATTTATGTTATTTTAAGCAACCCAATTTGTGGTAATTTGTTATGGCAGCCCTACAAGAATACTGTAATAAGGGTTAGTTCAATAAATAGTGGTACTGGCCGGGTGCGGTGGCTCACACCCATAATCCCAGCACTTTGAGAGGCTGAGGTGGATGGATCACTTGAGGGCAGGAGTTCGAGACCAGCCTGGCCACTGTGGCGAAACACTGTCTCTACTAAAAATACAAAAATTAGCTGGGCATGGTGGCCCACGCCTGTAGTCCCAGCTACTCTGGGGGCTGAGGCAGAAGAATCGCTTGAACCCAGAAGGTAGAGGTTGCAGTGAGCTGAGATTGTGCCACTGCACTCCAGCCTGGATGACAGAAGTGAGATGCTGTCTCAAAAAATAAATGGTGCATACATATGGCTAAAGATGGAAGTGAAACCCTCCCATCTATTCCCTTTCTGTTTTTTGAGACAGAGTCTTGCTCTTCACTCAGGCTGGAGTGCAGTGGTGCAATATAGTCTCACCTCCGCCTTCTGGGGTCCAGAGATTCTCCTGCCTCAGCCTCCCCTGTAGTTGGAATTACAAGCCCACACCCCCACACCCGGCTAATTTTTGTATTTTTAATAAAGAGGGGATTTCACCATGTTGACCAGACTGGTCTCAAACTCCTAACCTCAGGTAATCCGCCTGCCTCAGCCTTCCAAAGTGCTCGGATCACAGGCATTAGCCACCAAGCTCAGCCTATTCCCTTTTGTGTTTTGGTTTCTGAACCATGTGAATATAATTTCTTTCACAAAAATAAAGTAAAATTTAAGGGCCGGGTGTGGTGGCTCAAGCTTGTAATCCTAGCACTTTGGCAGGTGCAGGCAGGAGTACTGCTTAAACCCAGGAGTTTGATACCAGTCTGGGTAACATCGAAAAACTGCATCTCTACAAAAAATACAAAAACCAGCCAGGCATGGTGGCATGTGCCTGTAGTCTCTGCTGCTCAGGCAGCTGAAGAGGGACGATTGCTTGAGCCTGGGAGGCTGAGGTTGCAGTGAGTGGTGATTGTGCCACTGCATTCCAACTTGGGGGACAGAGTGAGACCTTGTCTCAAAAATAAATAAGTGAATATGGCCAGGTGCAGTGGCTCATGCCTGTAATCCCAGCACTTTGGGAGGCTGAGATGGGCGGATCACCTTAGGTCAAGAGTTCGAGACCAGCCTGGCCATCGTGGTGAAACCCTATCTCTACTAAAAAGACAAAAATTAGCCTGGCGTGGTGACGTGTGCCTGTAGTCCCAGCTACTTGGGATGCTGAGGCAAGAGAATTACTTCAACCTGGGAGGCGGAAGTTGCAGTGAGCCAAGATGGCACCACTGCACTCCAGCCTGGGCAACAGAGCAAGACTCCATTAAAAAAAAAAAGTAAAAAAACAAAAGGACATTCCATGTTCACTCTAAAACCAAGTTACCAAAACCACTTTTCATCCTGCTGAACCGGTTAGACTTGGCTCCCCTTGGTACAATTGAACTTGAGTTTTCACTTGAAACCAATTCAGAGTTTTTATTCTCATACCAAAGGAGCTTCACTAGAAAACAAATGTAACTTTCAATTCCACTTAAAGTTAATGGAGATGTCACACGATCACTATAGATGTAGATACTTGTTCCTTGCCAACAGTAATAAAAAGATCACTTCTAAAATTAATGTGATCCTGTGGCTGGGTGCAGTCGGTGGCTCACGCCTAAAACACTTTAGGAGGCTGAGGTGGGTGGATCGCTTGAGAGCAGGAGTTTGAGACCAGCCTGGCCAACATGGTGAAACCCTGTCTCTACTAAAAATACAAAAATTTGTCGGGCACAGTAGCGTGCAGTCCCAGCTATATGGGAGGCTGAGGCAGGAGAACTGCTTGAATCCAGGAGGTGGAGGTTGCAGTGAGCCAAAGTTGAGCCATTGTACTCCAGCCTGGGCAACACAGTAAGAGCCATTCTAAAAAAAAAAAAAAAGAGAAAATAAGAAAACCAAGCATGCCCTAACAAGCCTGGGTACTTAGCATACATTTTGTTGACTCAAGATGCATGGAAGTCTCAGTGATAGTTTACTCATACTGTACTTAATATGCAAAATTAGAATAATCAAGTAAGAACTGTGATTGGATGCCATTTTTAAATCCTAAAATGAATGCCATGGTGGGGTTGAAAGAGTGCTGGCCTTGAACTCAGAAAAGCTAGGTTCATTTCTGGGTTTTTCCCATTTCTAGAGTCCTTAATTAAAATACCCAGTTTGGCCAGGTACGATGGCTCACGCCTGTAATCCTAGCATTTTGAGAGGCCGAGGCGGATGGATCACCTGAGGTCGGGAGTTCCAGACCAGCTTGACCAACATGGAGAAACCCCATCTCTACTAAAAATACAAAATTAGCCAGGCGTGGTGGCACATGCCTGTAATCCCAACTACTTGGGAGGCTGAGTCAGGAGAATTTCTTGAACCTGGGAGGCGGAGGTTGTGGTGAGCTGATATCACGCCATTGCACTCCAGCCTGGGCAACAAGAGTGAAACTCCATCATAAAAAAAAAATAAAAAAATAAAAATAAAAAAATAAAAAACCAGTTTATAAGTGGGGATAACGATATCTGCCTGACCTGATAACAAGGGCTTATGAGTACAAAACGAAATAAAGAGAAAGCCATTCATGGACTTTGCCTCTCAGTGCCCAGGAAAAGTCTTGTGCATGGAGGAGGTCATTAGTGATAAGGACCACAGGTGCAGTTGCAATCCCTATCTTCTTTGGCAAAGAAAAAGCACAGACCCAGCCTGGCCAACAGGGCGAAACCCTGTCTCTACTAAAAAAATACAAAAATTACCTGGGCATGGCGGTGTGCGCCTGTAGTCCCAGCTACTCAGGAGGCCGAGGCAGCAGAATTGCTTGAAGCTGGGAGGTGGAGGTTGCAGTGAGCCAAGATTGCGCTATTGCACTCCAGCCTGGACAATAGAGCAAGACTCCATCTCCAAAAACAAAAGAAAAAAAAAAAAGGATAGACCTGCGCCAAAACAAGCAGCTTCTAACTCAAGTCATACACCAAGTCAGTGCCTTGTTAGCACACCGTCCTGCTGCTGGCACCGTCCTGGTCTTGCCGGTAACAGGCTGGGAGTCCTCATCTACTGCCCCAAACTTTCAGTAGTTTCCTCTTCAGTTTATCGAGTTCAATGTTCAGGATAATCCTCCCCTTTGCCCCTGCACCTTCTAGTGCAGAAACTCCATCTCAGAATGGCTTAACCAATGTAGAGGTGTATTATCTCACAGAAGAAGAAATTCAGAGAACGTGTGGCTTCGTGTTAATACATGGCTGGAAGATGATGTCTGTTAGCTCTACCACCTTTGGCTTGGTTTTTTGTTTGTTTGTTTTTGAGATGGAGTCTCACTCTGTAGCCCAGACTGGAGTGCAATGGTGCAATCTTGGCTCACTGCAACCTCCGCCTCCCGGGTTCAAGTGATTCTCCTGCCTCAGCCTCCCATGTAGCTGGGATTACAGGCATGTGCCACCAGGTCTGGCTAATTTTGTATTTTTAGCAGAGATGGGGTTTTACCATGTTAGTTAGGCTGGTTTTGAACTCCCGACCTCATATGATCCACCCGCCTTGGCCTCCCAAAGTGCTGGGGCGTGATGCACTGCATCCGGCCTTGCTTCTTTTATTCAGTCTTTCATTAAGTCTGCGATGATTGCTCTAGATATCCAGGAGAAGTAAGACCAATTCTTCTTTTTGTGTTTCTTTTTTTTTTTGAGACAGAGTCTTGCTCTGTCACCCACGCTGGAGTGCAGTGACAGGATCTCGACTCACTGCAGCCTCTGTCTCCTGGGCTCAAGTGTTCCTCCTGCCTCAGCTTCCTGAGTAGCTGGGACTACGGGTGCTTGCCACCATGCCCAGCTAATTTTTGCATGTTTTAGTGGACACAGGTTTCCTCCATGTTGGCCAGGCTGGTCTTGAACTCCTGGCCTCAGGTGATTTGCCCGCCTCAGCCTCCCAAAGTGCTGGGATTACAGGCATGAACCACCATCCTTGTGTCCTAGGGTTTCCACAAACTCCCTCTGCACACCTGTACACCGAGCCGCTGGCTGTGACTTGTCATATATACATATATATATATACATATATTTGTTTGTTTGTTTGTTTGTTTTGAGAAGGGGTCTCACTCTGTCACCCAGGCTGGAGTGCAGTGGCATGATCTTGGTTCACTGCAGCCTCTCCCTCCCAGGTTTAAGCAATTCTTCCACCTCTGCCTCCTGAGTCGCTGGGATTACAGGGGCACACCATCACGCCTGGCTAATTTTTTTTTTTTTTGAGACATCTCATGCTGTTGCCCAGGCTGGAGTACAATGGCTTGATCTCAGCTCACTGCAATGTCTGCCTCTTACATTCAAGTGATTCTTTTGCCTCAGCCCCCTGAGTAGCTGGGATTACAGGTGACTGCCACCATGCTCAGCTAATTTTTTGTGTTTTTAGTAGAGATGGGGTTTCTCCATGTTGATCAGGCTGATCTCGAACTCTCAACCTCAGGTGATCTGCCTGCCTCAGCCTCCCAAAGTGCTGGGATTACAGGCATGAGCCACCGCGCCTGGCGTCTTCACTTAACTTTTAAAAAAGACATCACA